CTAACTAACTACTACTACACTACTATACTACTACTACACACACACACACACACACACACACACACACACACACACATATATATATATATATATATATATATATATATATGTACATACATATGCTTATACATAAATACATATACCCATGCGGCGTGCGTGGGGCTAGCGGGAATATATATGCGAGTTGTGCAACATCCAATTCGTACCATACAATAACGATATACTTCACCCACACACAGACACACAAATCTGCACTCAAAAAAGCACATACCCACCAACAGACACAATAGATTTGCTTCACCCACATACGTTCGTATAAGCTTACTTCACTCATACAGGTTTATATACACTTACTTTCCCCCACATACATTTACATACGTTTATCACATATAGCCTGTCGGATGGTGCGCTGGACATTGCTGTACGGTACACCCATGCGGCGTGCGTGGGATTTGTGGGACTGAAGAGGCGGCCGCTTCTCCTCGTCTTTGATCCATGCGATGTCCACATCACCAAAGTACGCGTACTTGAACTGTTGCAGAAACTCATCGACCAACAAGAACCGGCTCACGGCGGGGGCTTTTGATAGGGCTTGGAGTGTGGATACAAGGTGTGTGAGTGGGGCTATACGTGTGCTTACAATACGTGTGCATGTGTATGCACCGGTATGCGTGTAAAGCGTTTAAGCGCACGAATTGTAGTGTAGTTGTCAATCCACACTACATCTCCTATAACTAAATCAAACACTTCAACTGCTAAGGAATTTACTCAACAAACAACAAACAGGTCATAGCGGGCGCTTATACACCCATACACATGCACATACACACATACACTCACATACACTTTCGTAGACACGCACACGTACGCCTATTGCATTCACATACTAAACCCTAAACCCTATTGCATTCACATACCCGTCGTTTCCTCGTGGTGCTCCTGTAAACACCACCTGTCATAGGGGACATCCCGCATCAAATTCCAAACTTCATTTTTGATTCGACCTGAGAATAACAATGTAAAGGAAAATAAATAACGGTCAGCCTAGGTTTCAACAGCCGAGACGAGATCGGTTGACACGGCGATACGTCATGCACGTCCCGTGCTGCAAGCACAGGTGTGTCTTTATCTCTACACACTCCTCTACCACGCTTGTGCTTGTCACAAACGGGGGTTGATCAAGCACCGTATTACGCGCTACAGGATGTATTTCTGGTTTAAGGGGGCGCAACGTCGTGGTGTCGAGTAATTTTTAGTGTATAGTGCAGACTACTGACTGTGATGCAGGAGGTAGTATGCAGGTGGCTGTAGGTTGTAGGTGGCTGTAGTTTGTAGGTGACTGTAGTTTGTAGGTAGTTCTATGGAGCTGGCTGTAGTTTGTAGGTAGTTGTATGCAGGTGACTTTAGTTTGTAGGTAGTTGCATGCAGGTGACTGTAGTTTGTAGGTAGTTGCATGCAGGTGACTGTAGTTTGTAGGTAGATGCATGCAGGTGGCTGTAGTTTGTAGGTGGTTGTAGTGTGAGTCGTTGCGCGGTTGAGTGCCGAGGGAACATCTGATCTCCATTGATGTCACATGTAGTGATCAAACAACACGCCATGGTTTGACGAGTGCCAGTCGCAGTGTGAGTGTTATTCACCCCGTAGGGGTGACAGAGTTTTTCTTGAACGAGTTGATTTTATTCAGTGATTATGCCAGTGCTGTATTGAGTACTGTCACGTAATGAGGTGTTGAGTGGTGTTTGCTATAAGGCTAGGAGTCATGAAATATGTAGATGTGTTGATGTATAGTATGATGTTTGGGAGATTATCAGAAGGCGTCAACATCAGATAGATAATATTGTGCCACAGACATCCTGCAGGAACCCGATATATATATATATATA